CCGTCCTGACCGCGTAGCTCAGTTGGAAGAGCATTGGGCTAGTATTCCAAAGGTCGTAGATTCGAATCCCACCGTGGCCGGGCATATTTTTCAAGCTCGCCCGGTGTGGATATACACTCAGAGTAACACCACAAATATCATGTTAACATAATATGTTCCTTGATAAAAAAAAATGAAAAAATTGAATATTCGATTACAGCTAGGTAACGATATAGTACCACAAAATATGATAGGGGACATTTTTGGGTGACACCCTGTATATATATAAATGTAGGGGGGCAGATTTTCCTTTTCTTGCAGAGTGGGTTGTTAATTACTTGCTTGGTGAAGATCTCTCAAATTTAATTATTTCCAAGAAATATATTTCTCGAAGTGAAATGACCTTTACCCTCTTGGAATTGATAGAGGAGCTGGATAAGGTTCAAACGCCGGAGGCATTGCATTATGTTCTTGAAATTCATGTGAAACATAATTCATTCTGGAAAGTAATTAGTGCATCTGAGTGATCAAGCACTGAAGTAATAACCATTGAAATTAAGGGCTGCTTAGTTCACGAGTTCATTTTCAATAAATTGGTCAGACGAAGGAACTATCAACTTGAGTCACTCGGCAGAGAGCTGCAAATGTTGGGCTTTCTATTTGTGCTGAAAACGCATCGCAAAATTGCTGATCATGTCCTTTGCTATAACGTACTAGAAATTAATGCAGACCAGTTCGTTTCCTTTGTCAAGAGCAGCCCAAGTTCTCATGCAGAGAGGCAAGCTTATCAATTTTTTCTCGACTACATTACATCTGCGGATGGCGTGAAGAATTAGGGTTCCCTAAAGGTAAACTTTGTAATATTTCTCCAGTAGAAAGCAGGATTACAAGATAAGTTAGATTCCTTAAGGATGAAATGTTACCCAAGGCTGGCTCTCGTTCTAATACACTCCATCTTCTCACAGTCCATTCGTCGAGAATTACTTTCAACAATAATATGAATGCTGCATTAAAGTAGACATAGAACTCACAGGGGCGAGGGGTGTAAGATGTTGCCAGCGAATGAAGAGAAGGAGGCTATGTTTAATTTAGTTAAACAACAATTTTGTCATTAAGGTTTCACAAGATAATTAAGTTTCTTTAGTATAAGGACTATTTAACAGTTAATTAACATTTACTATGTTAATAGAGACCTTTAGATTTCCGGCTTGGACGTCAAATGGCTAACCGCGAACCGCGGTTAGCCGTTTGCGGTAAGCGGTTTGCCGTACAACACGTCGTTCGCATTTAGTTTTTTGACCTTTTCAGTTTTCGCGCTTTTTTTCTGTTGACATGGCATTTCAAAGAACAAGATTCTTAAACGATAGTTAAGCTATTCCTACACTTTTAGTGGCTAAAATATCTTCGTATTATTCATATTATTGATAAAATGCAATACAACTTTAATATATATAAGTTGTCAATATATCACAGCCATTTTGAATACATGCTATTCCAGTGACCACTTCAAATTTGAGAAATTCACATGCTTAAAAGACTTAATCGACCTGAATCATGATTTATATTTAACGACTAAACGTATACCAACAAAATAGACTATAATTACACGATATAATTCGACGAAATGGATATAAAAAGCTTGAGGGAAATTACTTACGTGAAAAACCTTCTCTGCATGCATGGCGTTGAAAACCTCAAGAATATACGGCAAACGCAACCGCTAGGATGTAGTCACGTGGTCTCTTTGACGTTTGCGGTTTGACGTTTCAGGCAAAAAACGAATATCTAAATGTTTCTATTAATGTCTTAGTAACTGCAGTTGATGTTGGTTGCACAGGTATATTTGTATTACTTAAAATTTTTATTTATTGTATCATAACTTTTAGCAGGTATTTAATCTGTAGAAAATACACGAACTTAAATTAGCCCACTTTTATATTCATATACTGAATCCTGAAAATCATCTGTACCTACAGAATTGGTTTCAATTTGTTAAATGTTGGTATAAACGTTTACAACTTAATGCTTGACAGTGTTTCTGTAAAACATGTGTGTTTGTGTATAGATGTTCATTTATGTGTGCTAAATGGCATTGTAAAACATGTTTTCCATCAAAGACTGCTGATTGTTCTGTCCTGTCAATGTGCACACACCGCAGGTTATTTTGCCTGGCTGAGAAAACAAATGTTCTCGAGAAGCAAAGAAACAGCTTTTTGTCATTCTGTAACTTACTATTCTGTAAGGATACTCGCTGGAGCATGTAGAACACAGGGTAGGTTTAATTTATTTTAGTTGTATTCACAATCAATTACGCTGCCCTAAACAAGTAGTTATCCTCACAGTAAATTAGTAAGTGCATTAACAGTTTGTTGGTATAAGTCTATTCCTTCGTTGTTGTCATCTAACAAAGGATCAATTGTCTGTTCCAAATGTGATTGTTGGTTTTCATTTAAGTGGATACGTGTTCAAGAATAACCACATCATTATCTGTTTCCACGTCTAGATATGGAGCCTCTTTGTCAATTTCATGCTCGTCCCAAGTATTCTTCCTCTGATTGGAGATCAATATGAAATAAACGAGTCATTCTATAGTGCCAAAGCTGATGAGGTGGTCTATTATGTATAGAAATTGGGTGGTGTGCACAATCCCTTACCATCTCACGAAGAGCTCTGTTTATCCGTGATCGATAATTGTAGTGAAGACTGGATAAGTTGAGATCATTTAACGGATCCAACAAGTGATTATCCTCCAAAAATTAAAAAAATATTTTGAAATTTTCGAACCACATCTCTTTTGCCTTCTCCTTAAAGACGCTCAATTAATGCGTTGGTTTTGTACTGATTTTCCTGCTATTATACCTCCTCGATTTTATACCTTTGACATGAAGCATTTACCGAGAAACGTCAACATTTTCTGTGCCAAAATCAGATTGGACTCGTGAAGGTTGACCATGTTCGTCAACAGGAGCTTCCAACAATCTAAGGACCATCTTTTCTTTATTATTTGTACAGCATCGCAGAAAAGCGATCAACCTGCTGTACCCGTCTATTCCCCCATGAATAACAAATCTCCATCTAATTAACTTATGATGGCCGTCCATGTGCCTACGTGATAAGTGTTTAGAGAAAGAAATATATTTTAGAAACGTTAGGCATTCATTCTGGGGAGTATCGGGCAGGGTGACTTTTGCAACCAAAGGTTTGACCTGCATGGTTTATGAAAATATTTTAGATTTCAAAATGAATAATATAATAATCAAATAATGTGGAATTTTGTCATGTAGAATTTTTTCGTGCTGTGCAATTTTCGTCTGCAGCCATAATTGAGATTACAATCTTCACAGTAATATGTGATTGGTATTACGTCTTTGACGAAGGTCAAATTAAATCGAAGTGGTTAGACAGCCATCTGCCGGTTATCTAGTTCTTAGTCACTAAATGTGTAGATCCAGAAAATAGAGAGTTTAAGCTTCGCGTTATACGTCAAACAGCAAACGCCTGGCAAAGAAAAAATTTACAGTATCAGGCAATAAAGTGAAAATAAACCTGCTGTTTTAAAACTGTAATGCATAATTATTCTTTCAACGCAGGAAAGAATATGACCCCCATCCCTCTGGATTTTTCCTAAACAGCTAGCCACGGAAATTTTGCCTCCCCAAGCCCTCTGGAAATTCTAGTTTTTGACTACTAGTGTCATATTGTAATACTGATCTGTAGATATTATATAAAAAACAATTAGTGTTTCATATTTTACTTTCTTGCACAATATATCTATATATTCTGTGACAAATTTATGCAAGTACACATGGGAAAATTTATACTGGAACCATTCATGCCAAGGCTTTGGAAAACCCCCACCCACTGGAAATCTTGATGCAATGACACCCCCTATTCTCTGGAATTTCCAGGCTCTTCTGTGAGGGGGATCATGGGTATTTTTTGGAACTACACAATGGCCGGCAGTTTTATCTATAAAAGCTACCTGTATTTCCCCAATGAAACCAGCGAGCTCACCGTGGCGCAGTGGTTACGGTGTGCGGTCCGATGCACAATGGCACGGTTCGAGTCCTACGTGGACAATTTTACATTTTGGAAACTTAATTTTTTAGTTCTTTAAAGTTTTAACTTTATTTAACTCTTTAGGTTAAGGAAAAGGGTTAGCAACAGGGTTAGGGAGTGGGGAAGGGTTAGAGATTGAGTTGTGTAACTAAATTTAACTATCATCGCCATATAGCCGGCAGTTTACTAAATAACCGGCATCTAGTCACGTCGAAATTAAATTGCATTCCACTCAGTTCAAATATGCAAATCAATCACTTACCAGAGAGAGTTTGGTGCACGTACATTGTACTGCCGTCTCACAATGATCACGGTTCTTCGTAATGCTATACTTACAGGGTCCACTGTGTTTATAGCATCCCTTAGACAACTACGTTGTACATGTATCCCTCTGGATCTGCATGCTCCCAAAATGTAACTTTCTCCAGCATTTGGAAGAATGTTCAAAATATTTTGAATGACTGTACACAATTGATCTTGAGATATATTTGAATATGTGCTACGAGGACAGGTTTTAACTGAATTGTCCTCTCACTGAAGCCGAGAAGTGCTGCAACTTCTTTCCAAGACTTGTGTATGCTATACAAATGTTCCATTTTTCTCTAGTTATCAATTTTCTTTCTCATGAAGACCATTTGCAGCTAGGGCAATTAGACCATCGTAATTTAATTCAGCCGTATAATCACCATCTACTGAAATAATAGAGTGGAAGAAAGCTATAAGAAATAAGAGGAAATATGCTATAAAGTTTGCAAAAGATCGTACGAAAGAGAATTTCGAATTGAAAAAGAAATATCGAAATATAGCTAATAAAGAAAGGAGGAAAGCGGTTAGTGCATACTGGCACAAAACGTCCGAAGATCTGCGCGACAAGCCATCTGAGTTCTACAAAACCTTTAAACCATTCCTCAGCGACAAAATCAAAGATCCTCCTGTGATATGTCTAAGAACAAATGAAAGCACGGTGAAAACAAACGAATATTAAGTTGCAGAACTACTTGCCGATTACTTTAGTACAGCTGCATGTAGTATTGGAGGAGATCATGTCAACAACCTTACAGAGAAAGACCATGATTATCATAAAAGTGTGAAAGTTATACGCGAAACTTTTCAAACAAATCCCAATGCAGGTTTCGAGTTTAGAAAATTAAGTCAGGATGAAGTTACATTCACAATGGAACATCTCAATCCAAAAATGTCTAGTAGTTGGAACCCGGGGACAACACCTAATCTACTGAACAAGGTTGCAAGAGGAGTATCTCTTACAAACCTCTATAACGAATGTATATACAAGTGTAAATGGCCAACTCACTGGAAAATGGGAGAGTGGACACCAGTATATAAGCAGGGTGACAGGCAGGAAGACAAGAATTGTAGAACCATAACGTCATGAATAACAGTTGACAAGGTTTTTGAACAGTTGCTTTGCATCCAAGTAACTGACAAGTTTGACTCAATATGACAGCATATAGAAAGACACATAGTTGTGAGACGACCCTTGTACGTCTAGTAGAAGATTGGAAGAAGGGTATAGATTACAGGGAAGTGGTATGCATGCTCTCAACTGACATGAGCAAAGCTTTTGACTCGCTCTCTCATACGCTAACTTTAAATTAAAGAAGTTCGAAGCCTACGAGTTTGGATCATCTTCCCTGAATCTCATGAGATCATTTCTTGAGAACCGGATGAATAGAGTTAAAGTTGGTAATAAGAAAAGTGAATGGAAATATATGAAAAGAGGGTGTCCCCAGGGGTCGTCTTTTGGGCCGCTGATTTGGAACCTTTTTCAAAATGATATGGCTCAACAAGTAACCAATTCAAACTTGACCATGTACGCGGATGACCATCAAATGTACAAAACAGGCTCAAATCTGGTTGTGGTAAAAGACAGTCTAGAGGAACAAGGGAAACAAGAAATGTCATGGTATGAAGAAAATTATCTACAAGCAAATCCAGACAAATTCCAGGTGCTCACCATAAACCCAAGAAACGTGGACACTAGTCAACAGAATAAAGACATATTCTTGAATGGAAAAGTTGTCAAGAATAATGATCAAATAGAACTGCTTGGGGTAAAAGTTGACGACAATTTAAATTTCAGTAACCACATCAGAGAGTTATGTAAAAAGGCGAGCAGAAAAGTTGGAGTGCTAACTCGATTACACAATTTAATACCGTGTTCAGCTAAACTGATAATCTATAAAACATCTATCCTTCCTTACCTTACATATTGTCACACAGTTTGGCATTTCTGCAAAGGGTCGGATAGACGAAAAGTTGAACGTGTCCAGGAGTTTATAGAACAAAAACATACTCTTATGAAACACTTCTGGAGATGGCAGAGCTCCCTTCATTATACAACAGAAGGCTACAGGACATTGCGATTTACATGTACAAAGTTAAAAACGGACTTGCGCCGAATAGTTTTAATGAAATTTTTAGTCTAAAACAGTTAACATATGCCCTGCGTAATAGTGACTTTATTTTACCTAGATTTAATACTACCAAATATGGCAAACGTTCTTTGCGTTATTTCGGACTAATGCTATGGACAAAACTGAATGACGGTATTAAGAATTTGCCCAGTCTAATCAGTTTCAAGAATGAGGTCCGTAAAATAGACATAGAGAGCTTGCTAGACAACAACTCCAACTGCTGCGAGATGTGCTTTTTCATACAGTATTTATATAGTCTATAATATATACATATACATATTATAATTTATTGTAAATTTTTAGATATAGTTTCACCAATTAGCTGTAGAAGTTAAATAACCTGAACACTGAAATAAAGTTATTATTATTATTATTATTATTATTATTATTATTATTATTATTATTATTATTATTATTATTATTATTATTATTATTATTATTATTATTATTATTATTATTATTACTATTACTATTCTTGAACTTCCTATTTCTGCAACCCTTGTAACGTCCTACTTCCCCACAATAAATTTGTATTAAATATCATTCTACCTTCAACCAAATTCCTTCAATGCCAAACTGTTTCTCGGAAAGCCCTAAAGTCGTCGCCAAATGAAGCGATCAATAACCTTTGGAAGGATACTAGCAATCACAAAAATGTACAATATGACAAATACAAAAGCACCAAGGACGTATTAAACACCATCAGGAAACAACATGAAGACAAGCTTCAACACCACCTCATTTTACAAGGCTCATTTTTCTCCAATATCATTAAACATCCTACACTCTCATTCAACTCTATATGGTCCTCCGTTCAGAGCACGGTTAATAGAAGGAGGATGGTTAGGCTAGCTGGACCACGTGACAAATATGTTATTGTTCTCATTTTATTCATGTCACGTGACGAGATAGGGGGACGCTTCGCAGGAGTGTAATAGAAAATATATTGTTGACATGGCTTTTGTGATGTATAAATTTACGTATTTTCGATTGTAT